CACCCCGCCCCGCCCCCCACCCTGGCCTGTCGCACTTTACTCTTCCTCATCTCTGCGGCGTGCAACCTGCTGGGGCATAAGGGTGAGACAGAGAGAACGAACGAGGAGGAGGCGAGCGAGCGAGAGAGAGAGGGAGAGAGAAGCCTCTCTGCCTTTTTCGACGAGGGCTTGTTTTTCACCCGTCCTCGGAGCGGGATTCACTGGAACAAGAGAGGCTTAGTATGGAGCCGTGAGCACGACGGCGGCGGGCCTGCACGGCGTCCGTGTGCCCTCAATGCCGTGGCCGTGTCCGCGTATGTGCGAGGTGTGGGCATCCAGGACAGCCAGGGGGGCGAGAGGACGGCGTTGACGACAAGGTGGCCCGCCGCGCCCGCGAGTCCCGCGCTCTAGCCGAGACGAAATACTCCCTCGACGGGGGGCCGGGGCCCAGACGACCCGATGTCTGTTGCCGGGTGGCAGCAGCCGGGCCGACCGAGATGCTCCCCATTCATAGAGGGGTTGCCGCCTGAACAAGCGTGGAAAGGCACGTGTGTGTGTGTGTGTGTGTGTGTGTTGCCCCTCCTCCCCCACCCCCAGCAAGAGTGTCTGTCTGGCTGCTATTTCCGTTGCGTCACGGGCGGCCCTTGTCGCACCCCGTCCTGCCCTTCCCCTTCATCATGCCCCTCGCCTCCCCGCACAGGCAGAGCAGCGCCTGGAGCCCCGCGCGGGGCCCCGGCAACGCCACGAGAGTCAGTCTGTCGTCCCGCGAAGTGATTCGCGATATGTCGAGTGCGTACGAGGAAAAAGCGCCGAGTCGGCAAGTATCACTCGTGGCACATCAACGACGTGTCGACCGCTTGCGGGGGAAGTTTATGCGGCCGTGACTCCATCCGTAAGCCCACCGCAAGTAACAACAAAAATCTTTTTTTAAAAAAAAATCTCGGATGCTGCTACATATCCCTGTAAAAATTATAATCAAATATTTCCTTTCCCAGAAAAAAACACTCGATTTACTCACCTTTCACTTACGAACGTGGCCGGAACCAGAAGAGGCCGGGGTGCCAGAGCAGCGTCGCCGCAGCGGGGGTTGCTGCAAAGAGCGCCTTGATACGCCAGCCCGCGCCCCTTTCACGTGACGCGTGCTCAACGTCGGACCCTCGCCACCCCTCCCTCTCTCTCTCCCTCCCAGCCTCTCACTCCGCGACGAAAGGGCAGCGCGCGCGCGAGAGAGAGAGACACGCGGGTATGTCGCGGGTAGGCGCGGGGCAGCGGCGGCGGCGACGGCGCTCTCGACGGGATGAGGCGTGCGGCGAGACTGACTGAGGACCACTGGGGACCCGGCCAGGATCGGGGCGGAGCGGGAGCCGCCAGGGCGGCGGGCAACGGCACGGCAAGGCACGGGACGGACGAGGAGCTGATCGCCTCGCGGGACAACGGCACAATACAAATTAACTTCCTCCCGGACGTCCCAAGCGCCCCCCCCCCCCTTCTATTTTGGCGTAAAAATGTGCCGTGTGTAAAGATCAGGGAAAAAATTTACAAAAAAGAAAAAAAATACATGATATTTATACAGCACTTCCTTTAATTAGAATCAAAATGGTACAGATGATAAGGCATGGAATGATTTTCCATAATAGAGTCTACCTGCCACTAATACTGCCATTACAAACCTATTTGGGGCCGAAGATTCGAATTTTACCCACGGCACAACATTAATGCTATGACAATGGGATGAGATTACAATTAAGTACATTAAGTCGTACCCCTACACAAAACATGACTCACTTTAATTTACGCAACAATAGTAGATAATTAAAGAGGCTTAAAAGCATTTTCTAAAGAGATTGCATAGATACAAAATAATTGAGATTAAAGGGAAAATGCTACTTTAAAATACATGAGGAAATATTTGGCTTATACAATGTTTCACTTAAAATAAAAGTATGATTTCCAAACTCCAAATTCAATTGAAACTTCTTGGGATGACAAATTGAACTTGAGCAACGCACCTAACAACCATAACATTCAAGTGAAACAAGTGAATTGTGCTGAATCAGCTAATATACACAAATATGGCAGAAATCAAATAGCTAAGATTTGTAACAGATGTACTTTAAGCATCAAACTTCTGTTCTGAACTAATAAATGCAAATTTCTACCTAAGACAGTAAAATCACCAGGCTGCTAAAGTTACTTTCACTTTAAAACTTTGTGATTAATATGATGCACATTTTATTTAGATCTTCAGAGAAATATTATTAATCATCATTGCTGTTGGCTGCCTGGTCAAGAATAACTTCAAAGGAGAAGGGTGAAAAATTGTAACCAGTTCCACTGTAGAATTTGCTCTGGAACTCCACCCTGCAGACAGATAAAAATAACAATGAGCAATGGATTGAGAGAGATGAAACACGAGCATTCTGAACAGTACTCACCAATGCAAACGCAATGTATGAAGGAATGCTGACAATCCTTCCATCAAAACTAAAATGCTCACAGTGAGGACCGCCCAAAAGGCAAACATGACGAACACCATGATTCCACCCAACCAGCCTTCTGCTTGGAGACCAAGCCTCATAACCATTTGCCACAATACTTCAGAGAGCTCTGCAACACAAAACAGGACAAAATTAAGCTCACCAATTTCATTAATACAGCATAGCCAATGAAGAAACACTGGACTATCTACTCACGAGCATGAGCAAGGGAGAGGGCCCACAGACGGAGATACGATGCAGTGTGTGATACTGATCCCAGAACATACTCAATGGTATGAATTCCAGAGTGGATGAAAAGCTCTGTGGGGTCTTCTTCTTCATGACTTCCTGGCTTGTGAGCTGGTGGCTGGGCTGCAGGAGCATTCTGTACACCGCTCTCCAAATCTGCATGTGCTGCACCACCATTTTCCTCAACAGCGTTCACATGATTATTTAACTGAAATTAAACATTCATTTAAATAATAAAATTGACACACACCATAAAAAATGCCATTTTTATTCACGATTGAAACTTACTAAAAGATGAGCTTTTTTCTGGTTGCGCATTATGTATAATGGTTTGGCCAACAACATCCAGGGAACACACAAGAGCGCCACAACCACAAGAAGTTTTTGAAGTCCAGCCTGAAACAAAACATGTTATAATTGACCTCAGCTTGCTTAAATCTAAAGACATTTAATTTTTACAGGCATAACACGTACTTGTCCACCATACATGTATGGATCACAACCAGCAACCTTGTCAGCTGGTTTGAAAAGAACCATGTTGATAAATGTGATTAGAATGGAAGGAGCACAAGTTGGTTTCAGTGCATCATCTAGAAAAAAGAATGGTATGGATGTTAGAAGGTTTCTATAATGAAGTAAAATTTGATAAGCAAAGATTACATGATATTTTTAAATTACCCATTGCATTAGCTTCATAGGTAACCCACTTGATGAACATAAGGATAACCATGTACAGAAACAGGAAACACAAGAAAATGACCTGAGGGATGAAGATGAGATAGATATCCAACTTCTTGTTGAAATATCTGCAAGAAAAAAATGTTTAGAAAGATAAAATTGTCAAATTGTAGGAAGGGAAAGATCACAAAAGTGGTGCTAATAATAAAGTAATTTTACCTGTAATTCCAAAGGCTTAACACAACTCCAAACAACATCTGGGCAACACCAAGGATGATTGAAACTTTCATCTTAAATGCGTTTAGGAAGACAATTTTGTTTGAAGCAATCTATTGAAAAACATAATTAAAAGATGCTTAGAGCGAATGTCAAGATAATCTCAAAGTACATACGACAGTGTTTGGTTATTTACCTGCCAGATAGGGTCCAGACCCACAGGGTATGGTGTTGACAAGTATGAATCCTTTGGATCAATTGTCAAATCCTTGTGAGTCATCAAAAGCTGCTTGCCATAATCATTTCTCCAATGAGAACCAAAGATATTCAGAGATATGGAGAAAACATCATTGTAGATAATGCCAGTGTACATTGAAAAAACACCCATGAGAAGAAGACAATAACGTCCTCCAAAGAATATGTTCCAGATCTGCAAAGACAAAACAGCAATATTTGCATTGGTATGTCAATTAAAGTAGTGAATACTGAAAAACGTAATGATACGATTATCACCTCATTGTCAGTCTTCTTGGCTTGAAGTGGCTTTTCTTTGAGGACCATGTACAGAGCAAACAAGAACATAATAAGCCCATGTCCCAAATCACCAAACATCACAGCAAAGAGAAAAGGGAAAGTGATGATGGCATATGGAGCTGAAATAAAGAATGAGAAAGGTCTAGATTAGTACTACTTATGCTTAAAAGTTTACCACAGTATGTGTGTCAGAAAGTGATTTCTTACCAGGATTGACCTCTCTGTAGTTCGCAACACCATATGCATCAACAAGAGCCTGAAAAGCTTTGGTGAACTTGTTTGTTCTATTGTATGTTGGAGGGTCTTCAAAAGTGTCCATCCTATTCAAAATTGGAGGAACAGAACTTCCACTGCGCTCCTGTAGTTATAAATTAAGAGGTGAGTAGTCTGAAGTTTATAGATAACATAAGAAAATTGGCCAGTACTTACAGTTCCTCGACGCAAGGCAAGTTGAATAGCTTCCATATCAAGAACAGGGACCCAACATTCAGCAATCAAGCACTTCTGGGTCACATCCAAGTTGAAAAGGTTCAGAGTGTGATAAATAGCTTTAATTTTACGAACTTTGATGAACCAACTTTTTATATTTTTGGCGGCTGCTACCAGAACACGATGGCGATGATCTTGAGTTTGACCCAAAACCTGAAAGAATTTAATGACATTGTTACAAAGCTAATTTTAAAAATCAGTCTTTCATGCAATAAACAAATTAATGGAAGCTTTAGTTCAACGTACAGTGTTCAGGTCCTCAATTCGTGTCATCACACTCATGGCCATTTCACGACGATCAGCAGGAGTTTCCCGGCAGGGGTAAAGGGAGGCTCTGAAACCTTCACAGATTTTCCTCACTCTTGTTTTAAGTTGGTCTCCTTGGAAGAAAATGATGAATACGGATTTGTAGACTTCATCCCCCTGGAAGTAAAGTGATTGTGCCCATGAGTTCAGCAAATTACAGATTATGACTAATTAACATTCCAACAAAACACTCACAGTTGTAGGGTCTTCCAAAGGAGTTTCAATCTCTGCTTGACGTAGGAAGACATTTCCACGGCAGGCACGCCACAGCATGCGCTCAAAGGCAGGAATCCTCTCACGCAATATAACTCCAGCAACAAAGCTGTTTGCAATTGGTTTTTAAGTAGGAATTTATATATTGTACACATATTCATTAAGGTGCAAGAAACAAAGGCTGAGTTCAGCAGAACAGCTCTGATAAAAAGGTTTGAGTTTTAGGGGTAAACTTTGATTGTTAAGTGATATGATTTTTAGATAGGATAAACCGCCATTCAGGAAGAACCAGTATAGCTTGTATAAGGTGTCAAGCAGAGTGGGTATAGTGTTATGTTGATAATGGTGGCCATGGGTCAGTTTCCCAACATATTACAGGACAGACAAGATAAGCATGGAAGAAGATAATATTCAAACATATCACAAGGTGAAAATTGCCTTATTTACAGCATGAGATAGAATGAAAGATTAGAAAAATGTAATTATGTTCCTATCCATACTAACCTTTTAAGTTACAATTGATTACAAATATATATAAACTTCATGGTGGTTAAACACAATTTCACTAACTCTTAATCCCCTCATTAACTAATGTAGCACTATTAGTAATAAATATAATTAAGGCAATAATCAAATATTGTGTAAGATAAAGTCAAATCAAGTCAGTCTAGTAATCTTTCCTCAAGGCATCAAAATTACAACTAAATACAGCATTCAACAAAAGACATGCAATTGTACCAAGCAACCAGCATTATTAGTCTTATATGAGACCGCTTTAAATTGGGGGGGCATTAAGTTGTTCTTTGTTTTCTTTACTTTTTGACTGAAAATGTAAGTATTTACGTACCCAAGTTGGACAGGGCCCTGAGCACGAAGAGTGTCATCACCACTAATGAGCGCTCGAGTCATGGACTCAGTGGGACTGGTGCCGCCTTCATGCTAGGAGGGGAGGCAGTCAAGCAACACGGACGCAGAAAACGCCACACGGACAAACAAGAACAAAACAAAACGTAACATTGTTAGCGCAAAGGCCTTAAGGCCAGGCTTAGAATCCAGACAGCAGAATTGTCTTCACATGAAGCAAATGGTATTAAGGATGTTGTAGACAAGTTATGGTCTCAAAACTGTTTCAGTAGCAACTTCAAGATAGGTTTAAACAGTAGCCTTTAACTGGCGCAGAAGAAAGGATTCGGAGGGCAGTGGACATGTGTCACTTCGGTTAGATCAAAATGTAAACAGGAAATCTGCCTGGTAATATGCAAATGGAGATCAGTCTGGCATCTCTAGACTTCACAAGAAAAGGGTAAGAGAGCACACAAAGACAAATTACGGCACAAAAGCTGTAGATCAACAAAGGTAGAGGAATTACTCAACACAAAGCAAAGTCATTACCTTGTCAGGAGGAAGGGGTACAATTGAATAGATCATTTAAAAGAAGCTTACAGGTAATTGAGTTTTGGTCTTATAAAATTTACACAGCATTTTTTACACATAAAGAAAAATACTGTTCAGGATGTGGTTCAAAACTGTCTTTCACCCTATTAAAATGTTTACAGATCAAATACTGTAACTGCCTACTTGAATACGAAGACTGCCTGCATGACAGAAGTACTGTATCAAAAATCAAGTTCAGGATCCAAGTGAGAAGGAAAAACTGCAAGAGTGTTAAAGGACAGTAAAGAAAACTCTGATAAGATATACAGGGTTGTGTAATGAAAGTTGACAGGTCATATTTAAAAGAAGAGGTTGTTTGCATTACATCACACATACATGCACCTACACTCACTTCAACACAAACATGCTATACATTACAATGTGAGTTAAAGCAGGGAAAATGACCAATTGTGCAGACTGCTAGTACCTTATTCTGAAGAAGCTAGCAGAAAGATCACCAAAGGCATTATCTGACTGAAAAAAGAAAGACAATGTGATAATATGTGGGAATTCAGGATTTCTACATAATGCTACCACCACCACGGAACATAAAGGAGACTTCCACCAAGCTAGTGCTTCAAGAGAAAATAATAGAAATAAGAAATAAAGCAACATTAACTATACAATATACTCAATCTATGATGAGTTGTTGAGAATGAAGACATGCCGACTTCAGTCAACAGTACTTTCTATCAAATTAAAATTAAGAAGCATTTGTATTACAAGTGGACTCATGTAGTACCAAAGTATCAGAGGGGAGGAGAGATACTGAAAGTGTGAAGAACAATGCTAGGAATGCTTGTGTAAGTTGTGTGAGTGATAAGAAAGGTTTAGAAGTGATAGAGAATTCTATGAACCAATGGCAATAGCTAAAGCAAGTGAAGACATACAGTTAGTAACAGCATGCATATGTCCAGAAGTTGACAACTACGTGCATTGAAAAGAGAGCAATAAAGTCATTGCTAAAGCACATACAAAAATAATCAACATCTAGACACATCACCATGGCCACAGCGCCACAAAGGCATTTGGATACACCTACATAGGGTATCAACCACACCTACACACTGTAAAGTAGTAGCAGTTTTATCTTTTTCTAAGAAAAGTTAAAAAAAATTAAAATCTCAAACCCGGAAGGTAAAGGAAGAAATCATACCTTCCCAGCACAAATATAACAAGTTTAACTTTGATTGGCTTGGCGCCCTTAAAAGAGAAGTTACATGGGGGGGAAGAGACCTACCATTCCAATCCCACAGACGTGGAGCTGTTCATTGAATGAAACTTCAAGGAATTTATATTGTATTTGAATTATATTTTACAGTCAAAACTAAAACATCTGTTAGGAAAAGGCAGTAAAAAAATTTCACAAGCACATAGGGTTAGCACCTTACTCCAAGTCCTGGAGCAACAAACACCTTTTTCCCAGCAACCGTTCTGCACTCAGCATCAACACCTTGCTTCTTGCATCGTTAAGCATAACACATGTTTGAGTGATCATCTCCATGTCTATAGAGATGAACACAACATAAGCTGTTAGGAAAAGCTTTAACCTTGTTAACATGGGAGGGATTTTTTTCTTTAAAAGAAAAAAACAAAATACTAGCATGATTAGGAAGGGGGATCATTGACCATAGACAAATAGCTGGTTTACACAAGAAATAATCAAGACATTTGGTTCATGGAATAAAAAAGGGAAAAAATTCAACTGAAATGATTGATTTGGCAAACTTAGTTGGATATAGAAATGGCTTCTACTACAGAGGATAGACAGGAATATAGAAAGGAACTTCTTATTATATAAAATTTCTAACATAAATAAAAAATTAGTTACCCCAATTTGAGAGCTGCCTGGCCACCAGCACGCATGCCTTCCTCACCCAGAAGTTGGACCTGCTCTTCCTCTCGGCTAGGATCTGCCATCTGTGGGTAGGACACGAGCGAGCCCTGAGCAGCCTGTACACAAGGCGCCCGCCCACCCGAAACCACTTAGGCCGTCACTACCGCTCATTGATAAAGGGGATTGGAAAGGAAGGGGAAGGTACAAAGTGCAAGTATTTAGCATGCTCACTATTTGACTTTATGTTAAAAAAGAAATTCTACTAGAGAACAAAAAGGAATAAAGCTAAAACACTTGATTCTCAAACAAAAATGTGATGAGTTTGTAAAGCATTTAATAAGCTGACTAAAAAAAAGGCGTACAAATTAGCAAAGTGAATCCGTAATCTAAAGATAGGGGCACAAGAAGAGAAAAAAAAGGGAGGAGGGGGGTGGGGGTTATTATTTGGTGTAAAAGACAAGATTTTTGAATTACATAGTGAATGGAAAGTTATGTATTTTGAAGAGTTACTTTCAGTTAAAGTAAAACAGGAACAAAAAAAATTGTAATCATAGGGGATGGTACATTAACAACAACTTCAAGGGGGAGAAGGGAAAGGAAAACAATCTAAATATTTCTATTCAAAAGAAGTAAAGAAACAAAATACAGTAGGTATGTATTAAAATAATGAAAACATGCTTCAAACCATGCAACACAAACACAAAGTGAATCACATGCAAAGCCTAAGCACAAAACTTCAACAAAAAAATGCAATCATGCAAATAGGTGCCTACAGCAGCACACCATCTATAACCCCAACTAATACTAACAGTTGTTAAAGAAAAGATATTGGTATTCTTAGGAGATAAAATAATGAGAGTAAAGTAAAGTAATCAGGAGTTGAGATAGGAGTAGAACATGACAACTGAATCAGAGAATACAGATCTATTTAAAAGTTAAGTTACTGTGCACATGTTACGTCAAATACTTTAAAGTGCACAGAGAGAATAACAGACTAAGAATGGAAGATATTAATTGATCCAAATGACCATGACTTCTTGAAAAATAAGGCTACTATGAGTGAAAAATTATGTCACTCAGAATACCTACAATCATATAAATTATGTAAGAACTTGGGTTGAGCTCGTAATAGTTGTCTTCAGTGGAGGTCCGCGGTACCAACAGGAATGCAAAACATCTGAGCTCAATCATTAGTCTACATTTTCTAAACCAACAGAGAAATTAAAAGGTGCAGTCATAAATCTACATACGATAAATTAATAAAAAGGGCAAGAAAAAGGTGAAGAGAGATCAGCTTGTGTGACACGTTTAAAAAGAAAATGAGAAATTCAATCTACCACGACCTCCCGTCTACGTTGAAACCTTCACATTTAGGATAATAAATAGAAAACAAAATTGTAATTACTTTCATTCATGCATACACAGTCAAGTGGTTCTACCCAAAATTCTCCATCACGAAAGTTGATAAACTTACAATTGGAGATCACCTACAGAATACAGGAGAAATAGGGATGACATTGAAATTGACCATGGTCAGACTCTGAGCGGTGGTGTACTGCCAAGTAGGGCATGCTTCCAGGTTGGGCCTTGCATTTCACAATACAATCACTTATCACGATAGCACATGTCCTCCATTAGCCATAGAGCATAATTATTTACCAGAAGGAAAAAAATTACATGACATACTGATGTAATTCATCCTTTAGTGAAACTACATACAATTCTTGTGATGGAATTGCCTTTGAAACACATTGATTTAAAAAACAGTGGTTTTTAACATGTGCTATCTTGATATAAAGAATGCAACTGCACACAGCTGAAAAAGTATGATGCATGAGACTTGCAAAAGACAATTTGTGATAACCCAAAATGAATTCTAGAAACAGAACCTTGCATGAAACCAAATTTTTACATTATGTGCACTTTTAAGAAGAATACCATTCAGATTAATAGTGCTGATAAATGTTGAAAGAAATAATTGAAATAAGGTTATTAGAAAATTTAAGTATGGTATTTGGTAACCAAATGTCAGATTAGAACTGAAAGACCCCACTAACATCAAAACTCCCAAAATTTCAAGTTAATTATGCATTGAGAACTACTTAACCCATTGAGATCTGCAAAACCTTAACCATACATTTAGACAGGTACAACATAAATCACTGGACAAACACATGGCATGACAAACCAAATGAGTGCAACATCATTCAGCTTTCAGCTTTTTCTTATAGAAGCAAACATAAAACACTCTCATGACATATGCATGAACTTGCTGTATGCTGATTGAAATTTCTTTGACTTTGAATCAAGTGATAAGCTAAGAACATTATTAAATAAGTATAGAGATTGATTATAAACTCGCAATCAGAAAGAACATTCCACAGGCTTGGTCCTTTGACATTTTATGACATACCTCATCAAAGAAGACTTGAGTTTTACGAAGGATGTGCTTCACTTCTGTTAGTTCCAAAAAGTTGCGCTTAAGAGACTCTGCATTCATATTTACTTCCCGTAATTCATTTTCCAATTTTTCAAAGGTAGCCTGGATGAGAAAAATATTAGATTAGTATTTTGAGATGAGAAGTAATGCAGTAATGCATTGGCTTCATCTTACCTCTAAATCAATCATTTCTCTAGGTTGAGGGGCTTCAGGGTTTTCACCAGTATCAGTGACAGGAATATTGTCCTTTTTAATCTCCTTCTCCAAATAGCGAAGTTTGCGTTCCATTTCATCACACCTTCGGACTTCATTGACGAACTTTCGTTGAAATGCATTAACATCTGGGTTCAACTGCAAAGTTTGATGACAAAACGGTAAAAATTGGAAACTGGGAAACTAAGGTTAGATTTATAAGAACTGAAAAACAACAAGGACCCAAGAAATAACCCAAACAAAACTAAGACTCTAAAGAAAAGGAAAACATTCAGCATTCTTGCAAATTGTAATCTCAGTTGGAAATTAACATACGCCTCTTATGGGGGAAAATTACATATGACAGAGTGTCTTGATGTTTGGTCTTGTGACCGTTCTGCTAGTGACGTAAGCGAGTCATATGATCGCCAAAAAGGAGAGGTTAAACGCCGTTTACAAGAGAATACACAAGTAAAGAGCCATGACCTACGGTGTTGAAAACTGACATTGTCAAGAAAGGAAAGATAAGATATGGGTGAGTACTTACATCGCGGAATTGAACTAGACCTAGTTCACCGAGCTCTGACACACAAGCATAGGCAGCTTCACTTTGGAGGAAGAGTTGACACAATGTCATCTCTTCACTTCGAAATAAGCTCCCCATCTTGGCTGGATGGTCTTCTCACTGATTATTCGAGTATGTAGATAATCACTCCCAGGATTAAATAGCTAGGCCCTAAAATCCTTGCGGGTCGATACGGCCCACCTCCGCCTGCTGTGGATGGGCAGTGCTCGTGAAGAGGGGGTCATGTGATTTTCATCCTAGCGATCTCTCGACAGTCGCAGTGAGTTGATCGATTCAGCATATTTCGTCTGCTCAACACCAGAAGTTAAAGAGCTGTCCAAAGAGACTGTAAACAGTTTTAAAAAAACATGCGTTTACATACTTCGGGATAAAAGCATAGTACAGATCAATTCTAACCTTATGTAAAACGTTTAGCTTTCGAAATATATGCAGAGATGCGACACGCCCCTGTCTTATTTCGTACTGCAGGTTGGTATTCCGCCCACTGTGTTTGCGGCGGGCATGTCAAACAAAAGCGCTTGCTCCACCCCTCATATGAAAAAGATCAAAAGGCATCAATGGCCAAGTCAAATGCATCAAAGGCAAGGGTGTGAGTAATGATGCATCGGATGTCATTGATGTAAACTCGTACTCGTGCATGGATGTAAAAATGTCTCATCAGTACAAAATAAATTTAACCCAGCGGCACGGAAACGTATTGAGCATTGACCAAACAGTGTTAAGTTAGTGTAAAGTCCTCATCTACGGGGATCGAGGCGAAAACCGTGACTTCTATCATCGATGTCATGTGTGACGTGACTAGGCACGGGTTATTCCGAAAAGGACGATAAGGGGTGTTGACGGCGGGTCCAGTTTAACTTTCAAGAGTTTCGAGATTTAAATTGCGCCCATGACGAGAGATGCGCTGAAAATTGTACCAATAACCCATGGACAATTTTTTTTTTGCTCCATTGTCATTTTAAGAGGTGTGGGTGAATGGGCGTCCTTCCCTGGCTCAGCCCCCAGAGAAAAGAGCGGAGGGAGGGGGGTGGGGGTGGGAGCGGCCTGGAGCGGTCCCTTTTGATGCACTTTGGTGATAGACAATAGCCGAGCTCCAGCCGCGTAAGAGGCGGGCGGGGGTGGAGGGGGAGCAGCTGATAAGTAACTAGAATAATGCTGCCGTTGCTGGCGAACTTTCTTCTTCTTGGCAAAATTTGTGGGGCTGGAACCGAAGAGGGTCGAACGGAAGGGAGCTGGGCGGCATGACGGAGCCAGAACGAGAGAGATGTTGAAACTTCCCTGTATTGCGGGATAAGGCCAAACGCTGCGCCGGGTCCGCGAAAGTGCGGCTTACCGTCGCTCTGCACGGGCTCAGGGGTGGATAATAACTTGGCCAGAGTCTGTTTCGAAAAGAGATGGAATACGTGAGATCAAAGTAAACGGAATTCTGTCCGAGTCTCTCTCGCACACAGAGGCGCGATTCCCTTCCTCCCCTTCCTGCAATCCCTGTTCACGTACGCCCACTCCCCGCCCTCGCCACGACACGCTATGGCACACATTTTGGTTCGCGAACCGGAGGGGATGGGGAGGATGGGG